AAACTTTCACGTGGCCATAGGTGTTACCCGCGGGTACGGAGAAGCTGAATTTAAATTTGCGGGGCACGTGGGTAGGGAAGGTCCCTCTAAATTTTCGGCTTCCTAGCTTTTGTGGTTTCCGAATTGGAAGTTGCGAATAAGTTGCTGCGGAAACATACACACACACATACACACACAGACAACCCCGTGGCAATATGCGTTTTGTACTGCTGTTAGTACAAAACGCATAAAAATTGATAAGGAAAAATAAAAAAAAAATGCTAAGAAAAATAGAAATGAAAATAAAAGTAGTAGAATCAATTTGAACTGGTTGAGATATGACTCGCCATTGTGCCTTACTTTTCTCAAATATTTGCCAGCTTAAATTAAAATTAGAGTTTCAGAACACTGGCATTTTTCAGAATGCGAAAAATCGTTTGCTGAATTTAAAAGATGGAAGTGCTGTGAACCATGACGCGGCGTTAGTTGTTGTTCAGCCGTTTCTCTATCGAATCAGTGAATGTTGGTTTGATACTGCTCTTTTATTAGCACAGGTACCTAATTTTCTGTGTTTATGCTTACTTTCGCTTACTAAACTTTCTTTAGTTTTTCCAACGCAAGTTAACCCTTCAGCTGCAGTGAAGTGGAATTATCAAGATCTTTTATTTAACAAGGAATGAATTAAAAATAGATTACCACAACGATTTATCATTGTAAAAAAAAGTTAAGTCTCAATTGGCCATTGACAAACGCTAACTGGCATAGTTGTCGATATCTTCCTCTTTTTAAGGTTGCTAGTCTCCCAGGCTTGCACCAGCATCAGTTTGCGATCAAAACAAATGAGTAATCGTAGAAGTTATTAGTCGAATCGAAGCTTCGAACATTTGCTTGCCCAGTTGAAAAAACAGGAAAAATAAGAAATGCACTAAGGGGAAATAGGACAGATAATTACGGAATGTGATGACAAAAGAGTGAATATCAGTAGTGGTGTTGCAGGTGGGAAGCATTGAAGTTGCCGTTTTTACACAGTCAACACAGGTTGATGGCGATGTGATCGCCGTACTTCAGGTCATTTGATTTCTTTCTTAATATTTGTGTAAACTTTTAGTTAAGATGCCATATCTGTTCATCTCATTTTTTAAAAATATATTTTTTATATTATATATGCGGCATTATTCATGTATTCATACTGTGCATAATAAAACTGAGAAGTCTGTTTTACAATTGCATACTTTGATCTTATTTCTTGGATTGCCGATTGCTGATTTTCCCTGTATTCATGCCTTTATCGCGACGAATTTTTCATTGCTGACGCACTAGTACTGGCCTACTGACAGTAATCTTTTTTTCTTAATGCTAGTTAGAGAATAATTCTTTCTAGAAACATACACCAAAGGATTATCCAAGTGAAGAATTCACCACAACAGTTGGATATGCATATGCTGAATTGTACGGTGTTGATCCGGACGACTGGCAGCGAGGCCTTCTTTCGTTTTCTTCTTCCGAACTTTACCGCGCAGCAGCTGTTGCACTAGCTACCAATCTCAAACGGATATTGTTAAGGAAAACTTCCAAACAGCATTAACACTGGCTCATTAACAATTTATGGCTGTGATATTTCTGGTGATTTTTTTTGCTTTGAAATGGATTTTTAACTTTCTTTGATTTGGGTGGATTTTTTCGGTTTAAAAGAACTCGACGATTTTATTAACATTTAATTGAAGACCCACATAGTCTTTCAGTTTTGTGTTAAATTTTGTTCAGCGGCCATCGATGCAAATAACAGCGTTTTAGTAGTTGCTGCGATTGTGACTGCATTACCTGGTGCGTACCATGCCCGATGATTTTGGTGTTAATTTTTCCTGCTCTCCCTGTTACATTCTAAGAGGGGAATTCCAGACGTAGATCATTTCTTCTGCTGGTTGTTTGGTTTTTCAATTTTCTTGCGGTCAACTGTAAATTTTTGGTAGAAGCAACGAAGAGTTAGTTGTATAAGCGTTCACAAGGACACCAAACTTGTAGTAATGAAACTGAACGCATGCAGTTCCCTTTTTTGCGCTACATGAAGAAGCGAACAGGGAAGAGCGTCTGTTTCTGGCGGTGAAATTAGTGCGTGTAAAGTACTTGTAAGACTCACACTACCTGCTTTATGTATAATAATGAATAAAAGGTTTTAAATGGCAAATTCACAGTGACTATGTCACCAGCAGGGCGTTTGAGACAGCTGAAGGGATTCCAGTGATGGCAAGCCACAGCTTATCCAACGCCATTGATGAGGACGGTTGTTGGCTCGTTAAACCAAAATTTATAAAGCGCAAAGCAGCAATAACTCGGTAATCATTGTTTTCCCCTTGTTTGCGGAAAACTGAGGTGCCTGGATCGTTTCCAGATAAATCTGAAGTGGAAGAATTTTTTGGGACAGAAAGTTTCTTTCAATAAAAAGGACTGGTTATTTTTTGAGTGGGGCTTTTAACAAACCACTTATTCTGGCAATTCTTTTTGAAAAAGAAAAAGTTCAATTGAAAAAATCACGCGGGTACAAGAAATTATTGGATTAACTATTTGAAGGTAATGAAGGAGAGAAGGCCGTCAAAAGTGAGCAAAATCCCCATCGTCGTTCCCATGGGAAAAATGAAAATGATAATAAGAAATTAGTGTTATACTGTTGAAGTCTGTTGGTTCGAGGCGCTCGGATTATATCGAGGCTATATTCGAATATACAAATTCTGCTGGTGATAATGGTAGCCCATCCCTCCATGCAGATGCCATTCCCACTCCCATCCTACCCTCGACCCTTAATTGCATGAATCGACGAGACGACGAGCGGTCTGGAGGGACAGGCAAAATGGATAGGCTGAGAAAAAACCGGAAAGTGAAGGAGAGCGAGAAGTAAGCGTGCTTGTAAAATGAGAGGTTCTTGGCAGTTACCGAAAATGAATGCGTTTTACTAGCCTTAGGGGACTAGCAGTGCGGCTCCTTTTCCTTTACAGAAAATGGGAAATTCGCGGCTGTTCCTGGATATGCAACCGTTGATTTAATACCCTGTACACCGAGAATACCAGAAAAGAAACAGTTGGGCTCATTGAGACGCACTGGCTACTCACAACTGCTCCCTTAAAATTACCTTATCAGAGTAAGGAAACTCAAGACATGTGGGACGCGAGTCAAGTCAATCATTGGGAAATGAAGACGAAAAGATGACTTAGGACGGGGAGACGATCGAACAGCGAATGTTTCGGGTGAATTACCTCCTAGAGCCAAAAAAATAATCTAAAAAAAACAAAACTAACAACTTTTTAGCCAAAAAATTTGCATATTTTTTGAGGCGCTCGTATGCTGGAATCCAAGCGTACACAAAGGATCCAGGCCAGACTGGAACGCACTGGGCGAGCCGGTGCGATTATGTGTTTTGCAATATTTCGTGCTGCAGCAAGGTCGCAAGGAATCTCAGTAGCTAGAATTTGTAACATACTGACCATTGAAGTTCGAGAAATTAACTGTGCAACTACGTGGCATGTGAGTTGTAGATGCCGGCTTCAGCGACCCGAGAGATGGAATGTTGCTGCTGCGCGAAAAAGACCCCACTAGAAGAGTTGAATTTGAAATCTTTTGAGCGCACATGAGTGAGGAACATCCCCTCAAAGTTTCAGCTTTTCTCATATCCGACTTAGCAGTTTTCCCGCCAAAACCGTCATGTGCCCGTACATGAGACGTGAGCGGTCCTAAGAAGCTGAATTTGAAAGTTTTTGGTTGTAAATCCCCCTAAAGTTTCAGCTTTAGCTTTTCTCGTTCCCGGGTTATCAATTTTCCTGCCAAAATCTTCACGTGTCCGTATGTGAGTCTCGGGAGGCTTTAAGGAGCTAAATTTAAAGTCCTTTGGTCGTACATAAATACTGCACACCTCCGTAAAGTTTCAGCCTTTTAGCTTTTCTCGTCCCCGAACTGGC